CAGACACTCAATGAATATATGTCTAAACCCCCTCCTCCAATCGCTTAAAAAAAAAAAAAAAAAAAAAAAAAAAAACAATTACAATACACTTTCTTCTTCTTTTTTGATGCCATATTTGATATTTGAACATAATTTTCCTTGTTTGTGTGCTTTATTAGAAATTTTGAACCATTTTGTTTTCTTTACTTTTCTTCATTGGAATTGACTCATATTGTGTCTTATAGTACTCTTTATTTAAGGGGAAAAAACCAAAAACAAGGGACGAATACTTTATCAGATGGACCATTAAACTCTAAGACTACATGTCATACAAGCTTTTGGCCTTCTAATGTGATGGGGAGCTCTATATAGTAGATTAGGACTAATCATAGTTCTCATGAGTTTAAAGCTCATCAATTTAAGAGATATATTTAATCCAACATACGTGATGCTAATAATGTGGCTCATCGTTTAGCTTGATTTACTTAGAGAATGTTGCACTTAGTTTGAGAAGCCTCCTGATTTTCTATATGTTGTTTTCGAAGATTGTACTTTTTTTCTTTTCTTTTTTAATTATTAATATATGGCTCTTTTCTTAAAATAAAGTCTATTTAAGGCTTAATTACACCAATGCTCCTTGAAATTACGGTCAAATTTCACTTTGCCTCCCCAAACTTAAAGTGGTCCACTTACCCCGCTTGATCGTGGTTTGTCGTCAACTCTGTCCAAAAATTCGTAAACTATGATGACATGGCAATGTTGTTTGTGTAATTTTTTACTCATGATTCATTATTCACCAATTGAGGGGTGATGTGGCAAGTGGAGTCCACCTCCACATAGATAAAAATATAATTAAATATTCTAATGATTAAAACTAATTTAAAAATTAAAATAAAACTTTAAAATTTTTAGAACTAAAAAAAAAAATATTTCCCTCCCTCTATCTCTGTCTCTTTACCCGAACCTCTCATAGTAGCCATAACCTCCCTTCCTCAAGCCACCCCTATCCCACCCCATCCTTGCCTCCTACACCATGGCTGTGCTCTCAATCGTATCACCATCACCGTTGGATCTGATCCTTGAGGATGGGGTGGGTGGGTAAGGGTTAGGGTTTTGTGATTTCATTGTTGATTTGGGGAAAATGAGTTTTAAAGAAGGTGGTGCGACAAAGGGAGGCATAGGAAAACCAAAGGCCTCTAAACGGTCAGACAAGATGTGTCACATCCCTGGATCGGCTTCGCTGAAGCACGATATTGTCCGATTTGGAGTCCCTTCTCTGCCCTCAAAGTTTTGTTTCTAGGAACTCATGAGCAACTTCCCAGTGGGTCAGGGTCACCCATCCTGGGATTGCTCTAGCCCCAACTCGCTTAACTTCGGAGTTCCCATTACTCCGAAGTCAGTGAGCTCCCAAAAGGCCTCGTGCTAGATGGAGGTGGGCATGTACATATAAGACACATCACCCCCTCTCCGTTGGTCAATGTGGGATGTTACAATCCACCCCCCTTAGGGGCCCGGAGTCCTCTTTGACACACTTGCACCACATGGCAGAGTGGCTTTGATACCAAATTGTCACATCCCATGATCAACTCCGCCGTAGCATGAAATTGTCCGCTTTGGGCCCCCTCTCTACCCTCACGGTTTTGTTATTGGGAACTCACGAGCAACTTCCCAGTTGGTCAGGGTCACCAATCATGGAATTGCTCTAGCCCCAACTCGCTTAACTTCGGAGTTCCCATGACTCCGAAGCCAGTGAGCTCCCAAAAAGCCTCGTGCTAGATGAAGGTGGGCATGTACATATAAGGCACATCACCCCATCTCCGTTGGTCGATATAGGATGTTACAAGATGCCCATTAGTTTCACTAGATTTGCATGATTTACCTTATACAGAATATTTAGTTCCTTTGTGACATCTTCCTTGGTGTTCTTTATAGCTAACTGCCCATCAATTATGGCTCCGTATACAGACCCTCCAATCCTGCAGTGCTCGTTGAGATTGCCTCCATAATTCTTTTGATCTCATACATGATTGGCTTTCCTAGATTGAGGTGGCTGAGGTTGCTAAAGGGGGATGGCTCATGGGTAGGTTGGGAAAGGAGGAGAGAAGGAGAGAGTTTTTAAAAATGGTATTTTATTACTATTTTACTTAATTTTTTTAGTTTTAATAATATTCTTATCTATCTATAGGTGGGCTCTACTTGCCATGTCACCTTTCAATTGTGAATAATGATCATGTGTACAAAATTACAAAAGCACCCCTACCACGTCATCATATTTAATAGACTTTTGGATGGAGTTGACGATAGAGGGCAAAGTGGGTCACCAAATCAGGGTCAAACGGGGTAAGTGGGCCACTTTATGTTTGGGGGGACAACGTGAGATTTGATTGTAATTTCAGAGGGCATTGGTATAAATAAGCCTATATTTAATCGAGTTGAATTACATCAGTTTGTATGTTCCACAACCGTTACCCAACACAAACCAATTCCAATTGAGAATTGAATTTTATATTTTTGGTTTTTTGGTTCAACATCATTTTAACTCCACTCAATTTCATGGTGCAAACATAATATTTTTTTTGGGTTTTCTGCAGTTTCTCCTTGAATAATTTGCATATTGTCAATTTAGCCCCTTAACAAATTTTTGGGTAAATTAAGGACTCCAATTGTTCAAAAATCGCCAATTGAGGGCCTACCGTCAATTTTTTCAACTTCCATCCGAATTTCAGTCCAAATAAAGAGTAAATTTGTAATTTTATATAATAAAAAAAATAAAAAAGAGAAAATAAAAACATCACTACCTAATCTTCTTCCCCCTCCGTCTTCAAACAAACTAGGGTTGGGGTTTGTCATCGCTCTAAAGAATAAGTTTTCTTTCTTTTTTGTTTTCATTTTATTGGGTAGTTGAAGAACTGGAGGGAGTGGAGGGTGGAGAGACTTGAGAGCAGTAGAGGACAAAGGGACGTCGTCGGAGTAGTTGGCGAGGCGGAGAGAGGAGGTGGCCGAAGGGCGGGGTCTTTGGAGGTTGGTGGGGATGGGGTTGTATGGGTCTTAAATTTTTTTTTAATTTTTAATTTTTTAAATTATAAAATTATGAATTTACCCTTAATTTGGAAGGAAATTTGGATTGAATTTGAAAAAAATTGACGGTAGGCCCTCAATTGGCAATTTTTAAACAATTAGAGTCCTTAATTTATTGATAAAATTGTTGAGGGGCTAAATTGACAATATGCAAATAGTTCAGGAGGAAAACCGCAGAAAACCCTATTGGTTTTATATAAAAAGTAAAAAAATTATAATTTTAAAAATCCAAATAACAGCTCATGCTACGCTAAACTTGTGACATATATAGCAATTTTTGTTTCCATTTAAAAAAAATGTAATTGGAGACATTTATTTTTTTGGTCGGTTCTCTAAAAACTAATAACCGACCAATCAAATTAAATTGGTTTTCCAAATGCTTCATATCCATTCCAACTCAAATGAGCAAAAAGAAAATGAACTGAAGTTGTTTGATTTGATTAAGCTTGAGCAACTTTCTTGCTCATATTGACGGAGGCAATTATGCGCATCTTGTATGCAATACCTACGTATATTTTATCGTCTTCTTCTCTACTTTTTTTCTTTTTTCTTTTCTGAATTTGTGGAACGATCGATGTTTCTTTAATGAATAATTATAATTTACCAGGCATCAATTCAAAGGCCTTTGGATAAGGAGTGAATTATCAGAAACAAATGGGCTACAACTTTACCTAGCTTGTCCCTTCACCAAATATATATACGTTTATTTATTTAGGTATCAAAACCGTGAAAAAAAGGAAATTCTTTTTGCCCACTGCTTTCTTTAAAACAACTATGCCATTCCATTCCCACCAAATTTTCATCGTTCGTACGTGTTCTTAATTTTTTTTAATGGGGAATAAAGACAACCTAAACCCAAATTAAAAAAAGTTACATGACTAAATAAATAGTGCATGTGTGAGAGAATCGTACTCGTTAAGGCTCTAACTCAATGAAAAATAACGTTGAATTATCGCTTTATTTGAAAAAAAAGGAATCATACTGTGAACCACATCACTATTCCTACTTTGAGTTGACTCACGTAAAATAGTATTTTAATTTAAATTAATATACAGGCAGCTCCATAACCCATTAAAATGGCCGTTTTGTAGGTAGGTAGCTAGCTAGCTTTCCCTTTTCTTCAAATTAATAGACCCCGTCAATTTTCGGTATATGTAACCCAGAAAACATTGTGTTGTGCCGATCAACACTTTCTGTGTGGTCCCTATAAGATAATAATAATAATAATTATTATTATTATTCCAATTTAAGGATATTCAAACACTCAATCAGAGTCACTGTAGTCCCTTGACCTAACCTCTAGCTTCACACTATAAAACATTGATTCTACGCCCAAAATATTTCACCCCAAAAATATACATGTGTCTTGCGATCAATTGAACTCACAAGACAACCCTATACCACCCTCGGTTGCCTTAGCCTTTTCCCACCACCATAAATACCAAGCTCTCATCTCTTTTGCGATCAGGCAGTGATCATTCAGGTTCAAAAACTTCAAGCTGGACAAGCAGATCAAACCAATCCACTTGACGTCATAAATCATTTTCTCACAAACCGAACAGTGTTTTTTTTTTTCCTTTTCCGCCAGGTGTTAAATACTTTGAGAATTTGGAAGCTAATACGAGATCAGCTAGCTTTGCATATATACCAAGAGACAAAACCCATCTCACAATTCTTTTTAACTTTTTGCTAGCCAGCATCTCTCTGTCTCTGGTTTTTCTCTCCTCTCTTTCTCTACAGCAAGAAGCTCTTGTGCCTGCCAGTGCCAGGCCATTTTTATATCAACAAGTCGCCGCGTTTTTTTAAAGGTACAGTGGTCCAAAAAATCATGTGATGAGGCATGCTTTGCTTACATGTGTAATTTTGTGTATAAATTAATTTTCCACAGAATTGAAATCTTACCTGTGCTTTTGGGTCAACCTGGCAGGTTTCTATTAATTACAATGAAAATTTTCATGCCTGCCTGCAAGCAAGTACAGCCTATGAGCTTCCAAGGCTCTCCTGGCTTGCCCAGCATCAACATGGATCCATTTTTCCGGCGAAAAGATAAGGTTATTTTTGTAATGGGAGCCACCGGGACTGGCAAGTCCAGGCTTGCCATAGACCTCGCAACCCTTTACCGCGCTGAGATTATAAACTCAGACAAAATGCAAGTCTACAAGGGCTTGGACATCGTCACCAACAAAGTCACTGAAGAGGAGTGTAGAGGCATACCTCATCACTTGCTTGGAAAAATCGATCCAAACTTCAACTTCACAGCCAATGATTTCAAGCAGCATGCATCCTTGGCTATCGAATCGATCTTGGAGCGCGACAGGCTCCCCATCATCGCCGGTGGCTCGAATTCCTACATCGAAGCTCTGGTGGACGACCACCCCGAGTTCAGAATGAAGTACGAGTGTTGCTTTATATGGGTAGATGTGGCGCTGCCAGTGCTCAACTCTTTTGTATCCGAGAGAGTGGATCGGATGGTGAAGGCGGGTTTGGTGGATGAGGTGAGGAGAATGTTCGATTCCACTGCTGAAGCAGAATATACGCACGGAATCCGGAAGGCTATAGGCATGCCTGAAATGGATCAGTATTTGCGGGGCGAGGCTTCTGGTATCAACGATGAGGAAACGCAAGAGAGGCTTCTTCAAACAGCTATTTCTAAAATTAAAGAAAACACTTGCATTTTGGCACACCGCCAATTGCAAAAGATTCGTCGGCTCTGCAGCCGACGAAACTGGAACATGCATCGCCTCGACGCCACAGAAGTATTCTTAAAGCACCGCGTGGAGGCGGATCAAGCATGGGAAAAACATGTGGTAAGACCCGCCACGAGGATGGTTGGTAACTTCCTTGTAGACCCAATGCCCACAATTCTTCCATCCGACGCTCTTTCCACCGCCACCACCACTACCACCACAACCGTTCTTGCCACATCTATGCCCGCCGTGGCCACCGCAACCCGTTAGATAGAGGGAGTGTGCTCTGGCTCCATTCGACATGACCCCACGTGGCAGGCTGCAGCTTTTTTATATTTCTTTCTTTCTCAATTTGTTCTCATCTTTATCATCGGCTGTGACTCTATGAAAAAAAAAAAAAAAAAAAAAAAAAAAAAAACAAAAGAGAAAAGAACAAAAAGAAACGGTGAGAGGTCGTTGTCAGGTGGTTAAGTTTGCCTTTTTACTTGGGTGGCCGTACAGTTGGAAGCATTTTAGATATCCGTGCTGGGTGGCTGCTGCTTTAAAAAGTTGGAAAAGGTTCTCTGCTTGCACGCTCTCGCTAGGCCTTCTTCCTTTCACCTTTCTGTGGAGTCCGTCCGTACCGCGCTGTGAGGTGCGCCTGCAAATCAATCATCAATCATCAATAATCAATCATGAGCAGTGATGGTAATAGTAAAAAGAGACTGTGGGGGTCCATCCATATATGTGAGTGAGAGTCGTCCAATAAGCTTTGGGCCCCATTTCTTGTGTAATGTATATGAGTCAGCAGAGAGAGAGAGAGAGAGGTGGTTTTTCTTCTTTTTTTTGGCCTTTTCCATTGTGTGCCGTACGTCTTTTTGACATGAGCTCTTCCCTTCTCTCTCTCCCCTTTTCTTTTTCAAATGTATATTGCTAATTTGCTATGGTATATATGAGATTGGGGATTTGGGAATTTCCAAATGTGTTTGCGCATTTAGCTTCGATTCTAAAGTTGAGTACCAATGCGAACAAATTCAGAAGGAAGGTGTTGAAATATAATCAAAGTTTATTGAATGGAATTAGGTTTGACATGAAGAATGAAAACTTAAGGAACCAAAGGTATTTCGATCTGAAGACCGAATTTGAAATATCAGATTAGATTGAGTTTTAACAAGAAGAACGACTCACTGATAAACATGTTGATTTTAAATTTTGAGTTAAATTGAACTTGATGTGTTATATTGCGTGAACAGTTGTTTATGTATATAGAATTCGTCACATATAATCAACGCGAGAGCCCTTTCTATTGATCAAATTTCAAGTACAAATAAAGATCAATCACGTTCTTGGACAACATCGAAAGGTGAAAGAACCTGCAACGTGGGAGGGACATAAGCCTAGGGATTTGATGGAAGTGAATATGCTGTAATTGACAATATTTTTTAACAGCTAGCTTCTATAGGCTGTGATTAGATTTCTGGAACTTACCTATTGCTGAATTACAATGGGAATCTTTGAAATTAAGGGGACCAAAAGGAAAGCTGCTGTAATTGGTAGGGTCGTCTATCCAAGATCCCTTATCGTTTTCATGCCAAATGATTCCAAGTTCCAACTATATATTTTATAATCATGTGGGCACCCTTTATACCCACTCAAGCACTCACCACCACCTCTTATGTTAAAAGGTATATATAATATGTGGACCAACTCGAGAACACAAGAAAGGAAATAAAAAAGAAAAACATCTTGTGTTCTTAAGCTTCATGGCATTTCTAAGAAACGTTACATTAAGGGGTCAAAATCAACTTTATTAAAGGAGAGTTTAGGGATTGATTTTCATATGAGAGCGGCAAATGTATTTAGCTTATTGGTAGGAAAGAAGAGGATATCGAGGAAGCCATGCCACTTAAAAGCTCTTATTACGGTTAATTACAAATTGAAGACCTATAACATCGGTTAATTTGAACTTGAAGACCTACTGAGTGCCACGCTACAAAATATCAGTTAAGTTGATAGTTAAATAGAAGGTGTGTAACAATTTGTAATTTTCTTCTATTGGGTGCTCCGATTTAGGCGACTCTAAAATATAATTGACTTTTTTTCTTCTCCTTACGTACGTACAAACTATTTTTAACAAGCGATATCTTTGGTGAATGTCCACGATTATGTGAAATGAGACAAGATGCTAGCCACAAGACAAGATGGGTTGTGAAAGTAGAAGTATTCCTTGTCATTTCACTGTCTTGTTATCCTTGATCGATTACTAAAGGAGGGGAAAAAAATCAAGTTCGATTGGAATGGGAAATAATTCTGATTGTCTTTAACGACGCCCAGCACCGTCCATTCAACTCATACGTTAATTCGTACTGAGCAAGGACAAAATAAAGATCAAACTTTTCATCAAATGTCGTCGTTGTGATTGAGAATGTATGGTATAACATGATATGCGAGAACAGGCAAAGGATACAGCTAGCTAATTCTCTTTAGAATTCGACCAAAAGAAAAGCCAACTCTTTAGAATCTCTAGTTGTCTTCTAGTCGGATACACATGAAAAAGGACAGTCCACTCTACGGTATTGTGGAGGTTGTAATTTCTATCATGGTGCTTATACTAGTACAACACATGCTATTGCTGTCACAAGTAATCTTCTTGGTGCCTTCCATATTTAAAGGTTTCTGTCCATTTTATCAATCAACAAGTTTTGTTTGAACTTGCAAGTTGCAAGTACAATGAACCACAATATATGTTTGATTTGAGTGTTGGAAATATCACTTGAATCATTCTACCTAAATGTTGCTTATGACCTCTTTAAACACAGGAAAGATAGATATACCAGTAAACTAACAGTTAGTTAATCAAACTTGGCTTGAGTTATAACACGTATGATCTTCAATTGTCTTTATTTTTTTTTGGTTCTTTCTTCATTTTCTTGATTAAGTGGTAGGCCTAAAAAAAACAAAATATCATATCCATTGTCTTCATATCCATTGTCCTTTAAAGTACTAGACAATTATTAGTGAACCATGCATGCACACTCTTCCAATAATTTCTAAGCATTGCACATGCGAAGAAATGGGCACTTTTCGATTGAAAATGCAATGCCAACCGCAAGTTCCTATGTCAAAATAAGATAAAGCTTCAATGCGAACAAAAAGTGATTGCAAGTGTACGTCTACAAAGAAATGGAAAAGCTGCCTGCCAAGAATGCTGTCGTGGTCAACTTGAATTAATCATCCTATTCCAAAAAACAAAAAAAATATCTATAAAGCCCCCTTGCACTAGTCTTTTAGTTCTTCTTGGCAACTTGTTTCTACTTCTTTTTCAATGCGCAGTTTCTTGGAAACTTTGGTCATTTGTCTGGTCTTCGTGTTGTCTGCTGGCGGTGGTATTTGTTTTTAGGGCTTGAGCACCAGTTTCTTGTAGTCTTGTAAGTATTTTTAGAATTTTTGGGGGTTGAGCTCACTGCTGTCGTTAGCAGGTGATGTGCAAGCTTGTGTACAACTCAGAAACGCGTAGCCACGATCGAATGAGAGAGAGAAAGAGAGAGCAAAACACGGTTTTGGCGAGGGATGTCGGGATTTTCATAACCACTTCTATATATATCTATTAATATATCTTAATCTTTTGCATAGCTCATTGGTCATGGTCAATACCTATTAATCTTGGTTCAATAATTGTTGAAGGATACACATAACTAGTGATGCCATTGAGTATTATACAAACAAACAAAGTCCGGTCAAGAGATTCACGAATTCGTTTTTTCTGTCAGACGGTTTGTCTTGCTTTTTATTCGAATGTATGGTTCAAATTCACAATTTAACAATATATAAGGATTGTGTGAAAACACAAGGGTTATAACAACATTACCCTACATCAATAAAAAATGAATCTCGTATATATTATTCTTGCCTCATGGGAAACGTCTTAGAAAAAATGAAAAAATGAAAAAATGAAAAGAAAGCATCTATATTTCTTAAGTAGATTCGTACGTAATCATAATTAAGAACCATGGTGAAAGTGATTAAAGGTCAATCCCCACGGGTAGAGATATACATATTTATATATTATGGCTCCAAAGTCCAAAGATGAGAATGAAAAGTCAACTAATTGCTGCATATATATTCGTCTGATCCAATATGTGGGGGAGGTGGGAGGTTGAGATTCTTGTAAGTGGGTCTTCTCTATCTGGAAGCTCAACTCAGAGGACGAAATCACACACCAGTTTGGATGAATTCAAATTCAATATTTGATGATAAAAAATCTATAAAAAAAATAACAAGAAAATCTTTTGCTTGTGCACTTACTAGATTTGATATAAGCTTAAGACTAGATTGTCATCTGAAATCCTCAAGGACAATGAGAGAGGCAGTCCTTTGAAATGATCTCAAATAGATTTGATCCCAATGTTTATGGGATATTTGAGTTCTCTCAAATCATCATCATGTCGTGATAAGTTTAGACTAGATTATCTGAAATCTCAAATAGATTTGGCCCCAATATTTATGGGGGATTTGAGTTGAGCTTCTTGGCATTCTGAATACATTACAATTAAGGTGATAGATTTTTATTAACCAGAACAATTTTTAAATCCGAAACACAAGATGCATATGCAGTCCATACACTAAACAAACAAAACCTGCTTTTTCATTAGTTGGTGTGTTTCAATTTCAACTATTTTATCTTATCCAGATAAGAATATTCTCGACAAGATGGTTAGTAAGAATTTTGAGTAAGTTCTATCTATTATTATTCTTTTCAAGTTGGCTAGTATCAAAATTTATCTTCAAGGGTTTATTATTCCATGAGATAGAAGAATAAAAAAAAAAAGTATATTTGAAAATTTTAATTACTTTTATATAACTTTACCGATGTCCCTCGATAAATTGTTAATTTACTATTATTCTTTAGAAATACAGCAAAAGCTATATAAAAGAAACAATTTATATATCACTTTGACAATTATGGTATAGTTCAAGGGGCAAAACCACATATTACCCTATATAGTAACTTAATGTACATAGTTTTTATCTTTCTTATTTTGTTGAATCTGGAAATCGGTTAAGCTATATAAAAGTAGAAGCTATATAATGCAGCCAAAAGCATAAAAAAAATGGCTTATTCGAAAATTGAAAATTGAGCGGTTGAGAAATAGGAAAGGAACAGATGTAATAATCAATCAAATGGGGACCTTTGCGTTGGACCTCTCTTATGTGGCGCTTGTACAAGCCCTTAGAGCATTTCCAGCGGAACAGGTCAGCCTGGGCAAGAAAGAGCTTGAGGCCCGTTTCGCACTTTCAGCGGGCATTTGCAGCCCGGGCAAATGATGTTCAAATGGTGGGGGCCATCAAAACGGGCAAGCCCAAAGGTAGATCGAGTCCGTGCTCTTGCCCAAAGGTTGATGCTGCTGTCAGCGCACGGGTTTGAAATTTTTTTACAATTGGAGCATGGTGTACACACGTCAACGATAAACAAAATTTCAAAATTTTGTTTCTGGGAACTCATGCCCCCCATGCCTTCACGATTTTGTTTATGGGAACTCACGAGCAACTTCCCAGTGGATCACCCATCTTGGGATTACTCTAGCCCAAACTCGCTTAACTTTGGAATTCTCATGACTCTGAAACCAGTGAGCTCCCAAAAGGCCTCATGCTAGATGGAGGTGGGCATGTACATATAAGGCACATCACCCCCTCTCGGTTAGTCAATGTGGGATGTTACACAATTAGCCTCTTCCATCGAAGCCGAAGGGTCATGGACAACCATGGAAGATGTTTTGTTATGCGAGTGTTGGGTCCAAGTTGATCATTACCCAATCATGGGTAATGAGATGAAGTTCTCTTATATGTGGAGAAAAATTCGGCTCATACGGAAATGGCCTTGGCTAGTAGGTGGAAAATTTTGAATAAAGAGTTAGGGAAATGGAGAGATGCGTTGGCAAAAGCAAGGGACAACGTTCAAAGTGGCTAAAATCTTGACAACGAGGTAAATTATTTGTAATTGCCATTTTATTAAATTTAATGTCCTATTTTTTGAAAATTTCTTATATTTCCCATTTTTTATATTTATATATTATAGATTATGCAAACACAGATGTGGTTTGGTGCCATTGGCAAAGGCAAAAAATCTTTCAACAATCACCAATGTTGGGAGGTTGTGAAAAATTGTTTGGGATTTAAAATTATTCTCACAGGTCTGACCGTTGTGTTGAATGAGATGCTGCTCCACAATTCATCGGCATCAGATTCCCTGTTGGGGTCCCCAATGAATACAGATTCACCAATCCAAAAGGAGCCGAGGCCTATTGGGAGAAAGGCGGCAAATGCTAAGAGAGGGAGTAATTCGACAAATGAATGTACAGAATTTTTGGAGCAAATTGCTCTCAACTGCGTAATGAGAATTGAGAGAGACATGAAAAGAGATGCGGATGACAAGGCAAGGGATGAAGCATTTACAAGAGAGAAGGAGTACGCACACAAACACGACATGGATAAGAAGGATCGGGAAACCATGGCTATGGATACGAGCAATATGTCTCATGAAACAAAGTCATTTTGGAAGCTAGAACAAAGGGATGTTATGAGAAGAAGACTTTTCTGTGACGATGGACCTGGCAACACATATTGGTTAAATGATGAAAACCATTAGGTTGTTTTGATAGAGTTGGCACTTATTTATTAGTTATATTGGTCTTTTATTTAATTAGTTGTATTGCTTTTATGTTATTGAAAAAAAAACATTCAATAATATAGCTATTTATATAAAACATTGCATACATCAAAACGAAGCATAATTCATTACAAAATACAAACAAAGCATAATTCAGCACAAATAAAGCAATGTTCAAAACAAAACACGAACAAAGCATAATTCAAAATAAAACACAAACAAAGCACAATTCAAAACAAAACACAAACAAAGCATAATTCAAAACAAAGCATAAGTCAAAACAAAGCAAAATTCAAAACTAAGCATTAAACTTGACTTCATTGACCGTGATTGTCTCTCAGCGCCCATAAGTCCTCTATCAAGTCAACTTGAAGTTTTTGTGAACATAAGAAGATTGCATTTCCGTATAACGATCAATCATATGCTTGTTGTAACGACCATCCGTAGTCAACAATTCGTGCTCTAGTGGTTGTCCATTTGCTCCCACGGGCCTTTCATAAATTCTTGTCAATGCCGTGTTCATGGGATCGAGTTTGAACATCTCTGGTTCATCATAATCACACTCATTCTCCACAATTATGTTATGGAGGATGATGCGCATCATCATAATGCTCCGAAGCACCTCTTCATCAAACATACAAGCAGCCCCCCTAATGATTGCCCACTGAGTTTGGAGGATACCAAAACACCTTTCCTCATATTTCCTATAACCCTCTTGATATGCAGCAAAATATTTTTCCTTCTCCGATTGGAGATGCATAATTCTTTTGACGAATGTCATCCACTTCGAATAAATTCCATCTGCTAAGTAGTACCCATCTAGTAGACGGTATTGTTGATTTTATACGTGATCTGAGGGGGCTTGTGTAAGTATATGCATTTTGTGATTTTATTTTGGCTTCCCTTGAAAATTTTGTAATAGGACAATCATTGTAATTTCCCAAGCTCTAAGTTTAGATTAAGAATTACTTCTTCAGGTGTTCTTGTCTGGCTACATTTTGGTGGACAACAATGTGTTTTGACATAGGTAAATTCTGCATTGCACTACATTGCATTCACTAAATTTCTGAAGATTATGATTAGTCATCTTTTCTTCGTATGACTAGTCAACCTTTGCATCAGTAGGTGTTGTGTTGCACCATTAGTCCCTACCGTTAGAGAAACTTGACGGTAGGGACTAATGGTGCAACACAACACTTAATTGAGTGACCTCTATAACTATTTTTGAAGTTAAGTGACCAAAATGTAACTCCGAGTATAGTTAAGGGACCATTGCTACAAAAAATCCTTATTATCATTATTATTTAATAGGCCAAATTGTAGTAATGGTCCCTGGACTATACCCCAACTTTACTTTTCGTCCCTCCTTTTGATAAATTGTTACCGTCGTACGTTAATTATGCCTCCAGTTGCAGAATTTTTCCTTGCCATCATCTTTGTCAAATTTTCCTTTTATTTTGAGGGCATATTTGTCTTTTCAAGTGGTGGATTGAATAAAGACATGTCCATATCAGAAACTTCTCAAACTTATGACACTAAATTTGAACCTTAATGCCATGTCAGCCATTTCTAAAAATATTAAGGCATCTAGCGAAAAAAAAATTACAAAGGGAAAGGGGAAGAAGAAGATGTTTGCAGGGTTCAGGCAACCGTAACACATGGAAGCTTTGCGAGTGTGGGGGAGCTATTAAAAGATGGACTTCATGGACATATTCGAATCCTGGGAGAAGATTTTAGGCTTGTTAGAATAATCAGGTAAGTCATTTTGTCTGGCATTTTGTGTTTTTTCTCTGGAATTTTGTGGTTTTGGGTCCATGGGTTTTAGATATAACCTTGGATATGGAAAATTCTTCAGAAGAACAGAGGCAAAGGTCATTATAGGGAGTGGGTGGACGAAGAGATATGCCCACGAGGAAAGGAAGTTCTTCTTGGGTTGCTAAGAAGAATGAGAGGTATGGAGCAGAAGCTAAATGAAATAGAAGAAGATAATGAAGGACTGAGAGATAAAATCATAGCAATTGAGAAAGAAACAAGGAATTGACAGCAACAGTTGGAAGACAGAGAATGAAGATGGATGAGCAAATTATGGCGTATCGACATAGAGGGAAACTAATGTGGGTGGGTCTGTTTATGGCATGGGTTCTTGGTGTCATGGTTGCAATGTTGATGATTAAGATCCTAAATTTGTCTGAAAAAATTCTAGAGAATTTGATGATCAAATAGTGAAATGTGTAATGTAATGAGTTTGGTACATTTGTGCCATTGCATAACTTCAATCCAAAGTTGGATACATTTGTGCTATTTGCATAACTTGAATCCAAAGTTTGGTACATTTCTTCCATTTGTGCCATTGTAATGTGCAAGTGTATAAGAACATCCCTTAAGATAAGATATAATTTGACAATTGCATAACTTGATTCCAAAGCTTACATTAGTTCCAATTGCATACTCCAAATACATAACCAAATTTCAATAAGAGTTCATGCTCAAAATATGCCCTCCAAATACAAATTTCCAACCAATATCCAATGCTAGCCTTGGATAGCAAAACACTAAATTGTTCAAAACATCACTTTCAAATTCCCACCTAACCAAAAACTCAAGCAATTACACATCAAAAACTCCAACCTAACCAAAAAGTCTTGCAATTACACATCATGATGTTTGGATTTAGGAACATAATCATAGTCTCCAAGGTCTAGCCTTCTTTGCAGGAGATTTATATATGATATTGTGGCTTGAAACTGGCTGAGGTGAAGATTGGCTAGTTTTGGGTGGTCTAATCTTCTTTGCAGAAGATTGAAATCTTCTATGTGGGCTTGAAAATGGTTGAGGTGAAGATTGGTCAGTGTTTGGTGGTCTTAAAACAAGTTGAGATGATGATTGCACATTGTTTGATGGTGATGAAAAGGATGAATCTTCATTGTTTGGGAGGGGCTGTGAAGCAACTGGTGCTTTCCTTTTTCATTCTCATCTCCAACCTTCAACAACATATAACAAAACAATATTAAAAACATAATTTGAAAATACGAAGTTATAAAACAGTCAATAAGATGTCACACTTACTGATGAAGAGCTAGGTTGTTTGCCCTTTCCTCTACAACCACCTTTTATTGGACCTTTATGTACACCTCTTCCTCTGCCTATTGCAGGCCTTCTTGACCCATTAGATTGGTCCTACAATGAAAAAAGCAAGGTGTCAGTTATTGGGCTCAATACAAATTGCATAGTAACCCTAATACATAAAGCTACCTCAACTACCTCAGTTACCCCTTGATTGCTAGAATTAGCAGCATCTCCTTGTTTAAAGTGTTTTATTTTATTGTGTCCTTCTTGGCCACAAATAGAACACGTGATCTTGATAAAAACCCTTCTCAATTTTGCAGGGGGTGGAATGTAATTAGGTGGTATAGGATTTGGGGGGACTGGAACACGTACTTCAACCTCAGAAGGGTCTTTGTTTCTTGATTTCTTGGGTCTTCCAGGCTGGGTCTTGTAAGGAGGAGGTCTAATTAGAGGCAAATTTATCTTCTTCCATTGATCTATGGATGACACAGGGTGTACCATTGGATCATATGAGAAGAGGTAAGTAGTTTAGCTATAACACTCATGTGTATAGTCAAACACATTTTCTTGTCTGTGGAAAATACAAGAAATTGCATGTGAGCATGGGATCCCACACAAATCCCATCTTCTGCAAGAGCACGTCTTTGCTCTTAGATCCACAACAAACTCACCCCCATACATATGAGACACTTGGTATTTCTTCTCACCTGCTAGCTTGGGAATACATTGATGTGCTCCCTTCTTGTAATTCTCAATGATCTTTACTATTCTAGGCCCAACAGGATGTTTCCAAACCCTGCCAACAGTTCTTCTTTCACACATCCTCAACATTACATAAGTTCTAATTCTTTCAAGGCGTGTTAAGATGACCTTGTCTCTTGCTTCTAGTATGCATGAGTTGAATGTCTCACAGAGATTGTTCAATAAGATGTCATACTTATAGTGTTCATCGAAATGAGATCTGCTCCAATTCTTTGGTGGCCTTCTTAAAAGCCACTTGTAAGCTTCATTATCTTGCACCTTCATCTTCTCCATCTTTGCTTCATACCATGGAACAGTAGTGGCCCTTATTGCTGTCCATAATATGTTCTTTAAAAGGAGCCCAAAATGTTGCCCTATGAAGTTGCTATAAAGGTGCCTCACACACATTCTATGCTGAGCTGTAGGCACAATTGTTTCAATGGCTGGAAGAAGACCCTTTTGCTAGTCACTTATGAACACCCAAGCAACCCCATTCTCTATTTTAAATCAACTACCAACAACTCAAGAAACCACATTCAAGAACTCTTATTTTCAGCTTCAACTACAGCATAGGCAATGGGGAACATTCCATTATTCCCATCAACCCCAACAGCTGTTAAAACTTGTCCTGTGTATGGTCCCGTCAAATGGCACCCATCCACGCCAATGACAGATCTACATCCCTCTAAAAACCATTTCTTACAACCTGCCAAGCACAGATAAATACTCTGAAAAACAGGTTCACTCAACCATGTCAGTCTTAATTACAACTGTGCTACCCTTGTTAGAAGATTTCAACTATTCAGCATAATCCCATAACCTTGCGTATTGCTCTAGGTAGCTACTTTCAATGACCACTCTTGACAACCTTTTGGCTCTACATATTTGATGTTTGCTTACATTCATAGCATACTGTTCTTGCACTTTCGCCTACATTGCTGCTACATCCTAGTTGGGATTTTTCCTAATTTTGTCTGCAAACCTAATGGATAGCCATCTTGCATTGCAATACCCCAACCTGTCAACTCTAGTGCACTCATGTTTTAAAGAAAGAGTTTTGATTTTAGAAGTAGGCTGATTCCTATATATCCTTGAAGCCAACACAACAAATGGGCAATACTTTTGCCCCGCACACTTTGCTGTGACCCGAAAATTATCATTCTTCACAAACTTTATAGATTTGCCTTCCACAATTGCGTACTCCTTAATAGTTTCCTTCACTTCTTCTCTGTCAGCAAACTACATTCCTATCCTAAACTGAGGATTTCTGAGGTCAGTTTCTCTTCTAAATTGTTTACAGTTTGGTAATTTTATCTTCTTTATCTTCTTTCTCTTCTTTGACTTTTTAGAGTTTTCTCCATTTCCTTGGCCATCCTCGGAACTTTCACCTTCAGAAGGGAGTGCATCAGTGTCTTCACCATCATTTGAGATAGCCCCTATACCTTCATTAGGAGGCACCATTTGAGGATCAATAGTTGGTTCCTCTTCACCAACATTTGGTGGAACATTTGCTCTTTTTTTTGCTGTCATTCTAGGATCAATGTTTGGCATCTCATCATCAGTGTATTCATAATCACTGTCCTTTAACTCTTCATCTTCCTATTTTTCTTCATTTTCAAATTCACTGCCATCAAATTAAACTTCCACATTTTCCTCTTCATTGTCTACTTCATTACCTTCATATTAAACTTCCACATTTTCCTCTTCATTGGCTACTTCATTACCTTCTGAATCAACTTCCACATGTTCCTCTTCACCCACATTTGCATACTCCTTAGAATCCAACGATGGCTATACCACTTCTTTTTGACTGCCAAGTGTGTTCTGGTCAGTTGGATCATGGAAATACAGTACAACTCTTCTATTTGATGGAATGGTAGCAACTAAGTGTGCAATACACATATCATCTAAGGCCTCCTTCACAACATCTTCTGCATGCACCCTATAGAACACTTTTTGGCTTGTCACCTTCTGGGTTATATCTACTTTATACCCAAGCTCTGCCCCAATTTTCTTCAAATCCAATAGTGACAAATTGTCATCCACACAGTTGTTTGCAAAGCACACCTTCTCACCCCTATATACTCCATTTTCCAACAAACAAAAATGGTGAAGTTCTAAAGTGCATAGCTCGGGTTTATCTAACATAAAAAACAACATTACTTTGGTTACAACATCTGGCAGGAAAACAATATTTTGTCAGCTTTGAAACCACATTTTCTTGCCTCAAAACCAAGGACAACAAAACAGGACCACACATATAACCAAACCAAATACAACAACACAAGACCACACATATAGCCAAACTAAGGACAACAACACAGGACCACATATATGTAGACAAAGCTTAAACCTATAAAATATTAAACGCACTAAGTTAAAGTTGTAGTAACTTACCATACTTTGGATGGTCTCCAGACCACCTAAACACTGTCCCCATGTGAAGTATCTCTGTAAACACTTTGTAAACATTGAAACACTATCACTTTCGACTGTCCCAAAACAGAACCCTCGAATCTTCAATAATGCACTAATACTTCAATCAACACTGTCTCCCCTTCAAACATGGCACTTTCGACCACAAATTGCACTTTGAAATATTACAATCAAGATACCCTACCCCCTTTTACCCCTTTTCCCCTTTCGGTCGCTTTTTCCTATGTTTGAAGTGAACTTTCAGTTTCAAAATCGCAAAACATGACAAAGTTTCGCTTTCAACATCGGCTGAATCATTTTAATGTCGAAAATACTTTTTTGTCTATGCCAAGTAGGACTTGGCCTATTTAATATGGTGCATTTTTTAATTATGAATTTGCCCATAATATTGTTGAAAAATTGAATGGAGTTTGAAAATCTAACGGTAAGAGGTAAATTGGCTATTTTTAAATAATTTGTGTCCTTAATTTACCCCAAAAAAAAATCTAGGAAGAAAATTGACATTATGGGATAGTTCAAGGGGCAAAACCGCATATATAGATTTGCAAGTTCAATTACTTACTACAGAGACGTGTACCTAAAAAAATATATTCTAAATTAATTTTTAATAAAACATACAGATCAAGACACGTATTCTGCCCTTTGAATATCTACCTACAAGCGGCCCAAATTGTAGAATACCATTACCATACTCTAGAAAAAAAACCCAGTTAGCTTTTCACCAAGCCCAATTTTATCGAAGCAAGCTCTAAAATAACTTAAATTTTCAACTCTACCATCAAACAGAACCCAAACCCAACTTAAAGTTAGCTCTTCATTGCAATATGAATTAGTAAATTACCTATACAAATATTATAGTATCCCCAATAGCATCTTCAACAACTACGAGATGCTCAAATAAGTGAGCCACATCATAAAAAGTTTCTCCAACACCCTTGTCAAACTCAGCCATCAAAGATGTAACATCTTTCTCTCTTTTCAGGACTGGTAAGTTGACATTGGCTCTTCAAAACATTTAATTTTACTTTGGAAAAACAAAACATACCTTGAAAATGTTAAAAACCTATATTTTTTTTTCTTTTCAAAATAAATATATAGACGTTTTCCACATGTTTTCATATTTTTCATTATTTTCCATAATATTGCATTAATTGAATTGAAAAGTCTATTGGAGCAAAAATTATTCAAGTAGCAAATAAACCTTTTCAAATCACCACATAGGTCAACAAACTTTAATTTGCAGTTACTATTGGAGATGCTCTTAGTCCACACAAAGGCAACGATGTAGAATGGTAGAAGACAACACCAATAGTCCCCATCATTGAAAAGACACACCTAAGGTGGCTATTGAGCAACAGAGATAAAACTCTAATACGACAAGTTTCGAATGGAGATATTGGATTTGTGGGTTGTATTTGTATGTTTCGAATGGTGGGCCCTGGTTTTAGGTTGTGTTTGTCGGTATTGCTTTTAGCTTTTTTCGTTTATGATTTTACCCTTTTAGGTTTCATTTTGACTGTTTTTGGTTTTGTCATTTGTTTATGTTGTTCCCATTAGTTTATGTTTTTCCCTTTTAGTTTATGATTTTGGTTCCATTTGATACTGAAATGAGGTGTTTTTGCCACTGTGTATAGTCAATGCAGTGACTTATGTGGTCCCAATGAATACTATTGTATATATGTTGTCTAATTGCATGTGCATTTTGGTATTTTCAGGCGATTCTGATATGTTTACAGCGACCATGTATTATGGGGCAGATTTAGTGACAATTTCTATGTTAGAGGTGATATTGCCTATTTTGATTATGTTGATAAGGACATATTGTCTATGATTGAATTATGTTTTATGGTTCAGGAATTGAGTTTTCTAGAAGGGATTATACTATATTATTATAAGTTACCTAGGCATTCAAACTCTCTCACCTTGCAGCAGTATGATGAAAATGTAGTAGATATGTGTGCATTAGATCCAGAATTTAAGGAGATTGAGATATATCTAGAGCATTTAGACAGTGGAAGTAAAGAATCCCAATTCAATTCTACAATGGAGAAAAAGTGTAAAATTCTTATTGAGGAAATACATGAGGAACATCCCCTGGAAATTATACTAAGTAGAAGCAAAACTAGAGTTGACAATGGGGTTGAGAGTGGCTATGAGTCTGGGGTTGAGACTGGAAATGTGACTGAAAATGAGGAGGCATTAGTAAGGGAGAGGAGAAGAGTTGGGAAAGGAAAGGCAGTTGTAACAAAACCATATGATTCCTCTAATCCCTGTAATGGTTATCCTTCTGATTACTATGGATTGGTAGATATTGGGTATGTAATGCATGAGAATGATGATATTAACCTAAATACCTTATTTGGAGATGATTGACACAACACCAAGTTGCACATGAATTTGCAAATGAGGACAAATTTGAAGCTACAAATGGGCTTGAAGAAGAGACAAATGGGCCTGAACAAGATGGGCCTGATCAATGTGCAAATAGTTAGGGGTGACATTTTAGACCAAAAAATCGAAAAAAACCGCAAAAACCAACCGACAATTTACCGCAATGGAACCGCAATCACGGGAAACCGAACCACATTTGTGGTATGAAGAACCGAACCGCATTTGTGGTTGCGGTTATGATATTTGATTTTCAAAATTTGCGGTTACTGCAAACTGCGACTATATTTTTAAAAAAATTGCATTTTGTAGATAGCATTAGTGCTCAAACAAGACAACGGGGTCCTTCAAATCCACTCACCACCACCAATACTTGAGTTTGTAACTTTAATTTGTAACATTGGTGCATTGCATTTTTCTTTTAGTTTGTAACTTTAATTAACTTTGAATTGGATTTTTCCTTTGGGTTGTAACTTTAATTCATTTTGCATTGCATTTTCCTTTTGGTTTGTAACTTTAAAGGATTTGGAATTGGAATGCTTGAGAAGTTGAGGTTGTGAATGCTTGAGAAGTTTAACTTTAATTGGAATGCTTGAAATTGTAACTTTAATTTTCTTTAGGTTGTGAATGCTTGAGAAGTTGACGAGGTTGTGAATTTATATATGCTTGAGAAGTTGAGGTTGTGAATTTATATTTTTGGGTTAAAGTATGCTTGAAATCAAAAGGGTTCAAAGGAAGCATCAAAATTAGGCCTAAAATGTGGAAGATTGGATTTTTATGACACAAAAAGAACTTGCGGTTTTAAACCGCTAATTCACGGTAACCGACCGCTTTTTGCGGTTTACTTGCGGTAAACTACAAAAAGCAGTCGGTTTGCGGTTTCAAAAATCACCATAACGCAAATAGTCGGTCGGTTGCAAAAATTCGCTGTTACCGAACCGCAACCACCCCTAATATATACTATCGTCCCTTCTTCCTATTCCACTCCAAGCTACTAAGATATCATTCTCTTCTCCCACTTTTTGCTCAAGTTAAGACTTACTTTTTAATCTTCTTACATTTTATTGTTGTCTCTTTGCTATCTGAAATGGCAGGACCTTTTGGCCGACTTTGCTATCCACTTCTCAATGCCGTCAAGAACAAAGTGCCTAAAGCTACGTACACCAAGAATGTGAAAGCATCCCAAGATGTGTTGGACAATGAGAAGAGAACCCTTGGTCGACATTTGAAAGCTGAACAACAACTGAAGTTCGCGTATGTAACGTCCAAAAAACAAGTTTCTGCTCTTGCTCGGTGTCACTATAAGGGAAAAAAGACGGGAGGAGAGGGAGCGGGAAAGGGAGAGGAAGAGGGAAATGAAGAGGAAAAGGAAGAGGAAGAGGAAGAGGGAGTTGAAGTGGAAGAGGGAGAGGAGGAAGAAGAGGATGACCCTCTAGGACATAAAACTCCGGATTGGCGAAAATGGAAATGGCAAGGCGAAATAGTATACTCCAATGACTTAGATGCTCGCACAAGATCAGGTATTGAGGACGCGGCTAAAGAGAAGAAAATAAAGTGCAAGGAACATAAGATGGTGGACGCATTCAAGAAGTGAGTGGGCTAGCTTAACTGGGTTTGGGGGAGTAATATGTTGTAGGTTTGTCTTCCTTTGTACTAGGAGTTGTCTGCTTAGTTTGGTTGCTTTAGATTTGCTTAAGTGTTCGGTCTACTGAAGTTTGTATTTTCCTTTTCTCCTTAAGTTTATGTAAGTTTGGTTTGGTGGTACTAGCTACAATCCACATCCATATATCCCATTGTAATATATTCGTACGGTAGTAATGATATGTTTGTTTTGTTTATGTATTTGAATTGAAACCAGAAAGAAGAAATGTGAGAAGATAACCAAGCCCAAGAGATTAGTTAAAAATAAAAAATACATATTATAAAGCTGATGCAATATTGCATCGTTTGGCTTTACCATTGCTGCATGCATTATTGTTGAACTCGTCTTTTAGGACTTGTTCACAAGCCCTCTCCCTCCCTCCATCCACTACTCTGATCCCTTTTACCACATATGAGTCTCAACATACGTTTTGAGTTTGAATGAAAATTTTAATTCTCCTTCAACTACCGCACAGACTAATGTTAGAGTAGATGGAAGAGAAAATCTCTTTAGCTAAGAAAATCTCTTGCTTTTAATAAATGATGATGGTTTTTTTTCTTTTCTTTTCGCAGGCTCAAACGTAATTAAAAATGGAAATTGAAAGCTATTAGTTAATAAGTTATAGTTAATGGTAGTGGACAGATATGGCATGGGACTGAAGTATAGTTGGCTGGCAATGAAGACTCTAGTTGATAGGGATTCGATCCACTGTAGAAATAAATTTTGGCTAACAAATTACTAATGCATCAATGAACTTGACATTACTACTGACCAAAATCGATTCAAGCGCATATGTACAGAGAGACTAAGAAGAGTATATTGGAAAACCAGATTTTATATTCATTATAATTAATTATGCTGACACACACATATCAGATGCGCCCACATGCAGATACACACATCAGCTGTAGATGGTACCTACATACTTAGTAGAGTACATAGGTACTTGAGTATATGTATGTAAAATTGGATTTAATTTAACATATTTTTCGCAGGTCAAGACCTCATGAAAATACTGTTGAGTGGAAGAGTGACCTTTCTAAAAAATACAGAAGAATAATTTAGAGCATTTTAAAATGTTCCATTCTCAAGAGTAATTTGGAACAACTGTTAAATCAACTCAATATTAATTTTATTTATTTGAAATATTCATCATTTTTTTCTTATTTTTTTATAAAAAAAAACACTCTTTTTTTTTTTTTTTTTTTTTTTTTTTTTTTTTTTTTTTTTTTTTTTTTTTTTATGTCATGAAAATTTTCCAAATAATCTTAATTCATCTCAAGTTCAATCTTTAAAATACCTACCAAGACCAGCCTATTTGAATTGCTTGTATCAGTACAAAGAGATGAATTTAAAAATTATTTCTAGAAGGATTAGTATAATACTAACATCCTTCAATGATGCACATAAATCTTATCCCACTATCAGGGAGCATACAGTACTATCTGATGATATTGTGAATGCAGACAATGGAGGTGCAAAGCGAGGTGAAAATGACATGCACTCATCAGCTTCTACCAAATTAAGGACAAGTTTTCTGGCCCGTCTAAAGTTCAATTCTAAAATTTATGACACAAAAAGAACTTGCGGTTTTAAACTGCTAATTCACAGTAACCGACTGCTTTTTGCGATTTCAAAAATCAACATATCACAAATAGTCGGTCGGTTTGCGGTTTGGGCAAAAATTCGGGGTTACCGAACCACAACCACCCCTAGACATGAGGGGTTTTTTGGAAGTGATTTTAAGTCACTAGAAGATATTGAAGAAGCTGACCATATTAATGCTAAGTCATGGGTTGCATCAGATGGGGAAGAAGGTGGTTCGACTAAGAGGTTCACAGAATACAATCCTGAGACAGACAACCATGATTCACAATTTAAGTTAGGTATGATGTTTTCTGATTGTCATGTGTGTAGAGAAGCAGTTAAAGCACATTGCCTGAAGTATGAGAATGATGTACATTTAAGAGGAATGAGAGATACAAACTAAAGGTTCGTTGTAAGGACCAATGTCCATGACATATATATATATGTATATGCTAAGAGTTCTGTGGATAAGACCTTGGTTGTGAAGATTTACAACCACGACCATAATTGGTTATGGATAACTAACACTTTCATTGATAGGGTTCAATCCAATCCTCAATTCCATCAAAACCACTTTTGGATGCTATTGTTAAGGAATGAGTTGTTGGTGTTTCACAGATGAAGTGTTATAGAGCCAAAAAAAAGCTGCTCTTCAGTTGATAGAAGGGACTGTGACTTCATAGTATAGTATGTTGTGGGACTATTGTGAAGAAGTGGAAAGAACTAATCCTAGAACCACTATGAAAATTAAGTGTGATTTTAATGGCAAGGATGCAATATTTCAAAGACTTTATGTCTGTTTAGGAGGGTGTAAAAATGGGTTCAAAGAAGGTTATATGCCTCTAATTGGGTTAGATGGTTGTCACTTGAAAGGAATCTATAAGGGATAACTGTTGACAACCATTAGGATAGATGCAAACAATAAGACTTGGGTCATTTCTTATGCAGTGGTGGAGATGGAGACAATGGACTCTTAGACTTGGTTCCTTGAACTGCTAGCTGCTGATGTTGGAATTGTTAACTCACATGGGTGATCGTTTATTTCTGACAGGCAAAAAGGATTGCCTGGAGCATTTGAAGATGTAGTACCTAATGTTGAGCATCGTTTTTGTGCTAGGCATATATTCAGCAACTACATAAAACTGTACGAAGGCAAGGTACTTAAGGACATGTACTGGGGTTGTGCAAGAGCCACTGTAGGTGAGAAATATATGAGGTGAATGGATCATTTAAATACTCTTCATGTCGGGGCCTGGGAGCGGCTTGTGTCTAAGCTTCCACAACAGTGGTCTAAATCACACTTCAACTCAGTTGTGAAATGTGACATGCTCATCAACAACTTGTGTGAGTCATTCAATAACACAATTAAGCCTGCAAAAGATAAGCCAGTCATAACTTTGGTGGAGATGATAAGATGCCTATTGATGAGAAAAATAACATCTAGAAGGTGCAAAATGATGAGTTGGCCTTATGAATTATGCCCTAACATTTTTAACCAATTACAAGCCAAAAAAGTTATGTCTGAGCAATACACTGTCATGTGGTTCGGAGGCTCTAAATATCAAGTGGATGATGGAAAATGGATCAATATGTGGTGGACTTAAACAGACACACCTGTTCTTACTGGGAATAGGATTTGAATGGTATACCATGTGCTGATGGTATTGTTGCAGCACATTACAAAGGGGGTAAACCAGTTTAGGAATATGTTAACTCTTGCTATAGCAAAATTGCTCACCTCAGAGCTTATGACAACCTCATACAACCAATATATAGGCTAGATCTGAGCATGAAGCTGTTAAGTCACCATGATACAATAGGCATCTAGGAAGACCAAAGAAATTAAGGAGAAATGAGGCTGAGGAGAAAACGGACAAAGGGGGGAAGAAATGGCTTGAAAAACAGGGCCTTGCTATGAGGTATAGCTACTGTGAAGAAGAAGGTCACAACAGCAAGACTCATAACAAGAATATACCTCCAAAGCAAAAGAAGAAAACACGAGAAGCATTTGGCTCCGAGAGGAAGACAAAAAGCAAAGCTGCAAGGGTTAAGAAAAAAGTTGGAGAAGCTCTAAATGTAAGCCTCTAAACCCTAGAATGTTGTTTGATGTATACAATTGTATGGTAGGTATGGTAACTGTGCTTATACAATTGTTTGATGTATATAGGAATCAAACCCCTCAATTGAATCAATTACAGTGAGGACAAGAAGCTCCAAATCAAAGAATTTAATGGATGCACCAATTGCAGTGAGGACAAGAGGCTTGAAATCAACCTATAACTATGGAAAGAAAAAGGAAATAATTGTGCAAGGACAAGTGAAACGAAGCCACACCTTTGCTCTTTTTTTGCTTATGTTGAACTGTGCTTGAATTGGTATATGTTGAATAGTTTACTAAATGTAAAGGTTTACATTTTCAACTTCATTTCACACGTGCATTTTCAACTCTGGTTCTCTCATTTCAAAATGTAAAGTATCTTAATTTAGAAATTAGTAAACAATATAAGAGAAAATTTAGAAATTAGCGAACAACATAAGAGAAAATTAACTCTAGATAATAATACATTAGTTTGTTATTTTCCACAAAAAGAACACAAACATCTATTACACATAAAGAAAATAGTATTGTTGATCTATTAATTAGTTATGCAGGAAGTACAAAATTTTGAACATAATAAATATAATAGAATAATTCAACAGTTATTAGAATATGTTCAGAAAAATTCTCTATGAACAATTAGGCAAAATTTAGATTATATAACATCCTAATTGGAAGATAATAATAAAAATATTCAAAGAATTCTTAGCAAGAAATAAATTAAAGACCTCATAGATCTTATAGATAACAAGCCAAAACAAGTAAAACTTCAAGTATTAGAAATAATTGTGAGAACCCGTATTTTAAAAAGTACATTAAAAGAATTAAAACATTATTATTATTATTATTATTATTATTATTATTATATATGATAAAACTTTCGAAAGTTTCTTTCATTTTATTTTTATTTTTATCTCAATTATCTTATAAAATAAATATTATAATAATATTTAGATGTTTCTATTTATGATGGTAAGTATTTACATTAAGTCTATTTTTACCTTTTTGAACAAGTAAATGTGGACAACTCCTCCAAGTAAAGGATTGACATGGTATTTTTATATGTTTTGATCATAGCCACTTTTATTAATTGAATGATAGGATAAAAGCTTGATTCAATCTAACTAAATCTTATTTTGCTAAAGTTTAATCTTGTTTACCATCTCACATGCATAAAAAATTAATGAAGTTAAAAGAGTTAGTCATTAACTTGATCACATTACAGATATACGTCCACTTTACTAGCTAGTGGCACTAGACCTAGTTTGTTGTCAAACTTTTATCTAGCGATGACATAGCATGAGACACCTCTTGCTATTATTTCTTGTAGATGGCAACAATTTCTCAGTCAATAGATTTGAGAGTTATCTAGGTTTTACTTGGATAGTAAGTATGTTAGTTATTATCCTTTAATTGCCGCCAATTACATCATCCAATGGGGATGAAGTTGTAGCCGACATGTCCTTAGTATAAATAGGTCTTCAATAGTTGCACAGAAAAGAAACAAAGAAAGTGAGAGAGAGAGAGAGAGAGAGAGAGAGAGAGAGAGAGAGAGAGAGAGAGAGAGAGAGAGAGAGAGAGAGAGAGAATAAGAAATATTAGACAGGAATAGAGTGGGAGACTGAGTTTATGAATATCGTGACAAATTAGGAATCGTCTTACATTTCTCGCAAAAACTTTAGTGTCGAGGTAAGGGGTTTCTTGGGGGCCTTTACGGGGATTGATTTAATTAAATTTCATGAGCACTATATGATGCATGGTATTATAATTTGATGGATGTTCTTGATATTAGGTGTTTACATGTTGTTTATTCTTTGATTAATGTTGGCATGATTATATGTACATTGGTGATATTTAAATTATTACAGTGTTTTTATGAGATATGTTAAAAGAAGAACTATATCATGTCATGAAAATTGATTGGAGTTCTTGGGTTGAGAAAATAATGATGGAAAAGAGGGTAATGGAAATGATCTTTTGTGTAGTTGAGTCTACCTCTTGACAGGTACCAGATCTCAGGGATCTCACAGTGCACATGGTTTTTATTAGTTGATGTGGGACGAGAGAAAGGAAGTTAGACAAGATGACTAACAAAAGGGGATTTATGGGATGATTGAAGTGAGGGTTAGTTCATATAAATGAGCATTCAGGACCAAGTGGTATAAGCATGGTATGGGACATGCATGTTGCTTGTCCAATTACATGAATTAACGGGAATGGATGAAAAGTATACATGCATTATTATTATCGAAATGATATTTGACTCAGTGATTGCATGTCTATTATTTAATTTTATCAATTTAACGTGAAAAGGTTTATGTCCCAACTGAGCTATGGTTTAGCTCACCTCTTAATAGATTTTACAAGTACTGAACTTGAAATCTAGGACTATAGATGATTTAGCATGTCTATGAAGTGTTTTATGTACATAGCTTGTGGTTGAATAATGAGCTACTCTTTTAGTGAAATATTGAGTGGTTCTAACTTGTAAATTAATGTAATGATGTGAGATTTCGAAAGTTGTTGTTTTTGCTGAAAATTTTAAGTGAAATATTTATTTATTTATTTTAATGTTCTTTACATTTTAGTTATAGTTTTTATTAAATTGTATAGTTAAGGTGTGAATCACATCTTAATTCAAGATTATGTAAATTCGTGGGTTGGGATGTGACAACAATTGAGCCATTAAAAATAGAAGTGAAAAAAATACAATTAGTACAAAAAACATTAACTAAACAAGTTGAAAAGTTGCATAATAAATTAGATAAAATTTTAGTTTAATGACAAATTCTAAAATTAATAATAAATATATCAAAACATTAGAAGAGGTTGGTGAATTAGACAATGAACCAATAAGTATTTTTACAACATCTATAGTAAGTAGTAATATCCCTACAGGCCTTTTACAATATCTTTAGTATGATGTCTTTGATTGTATCGTTGAAGTTTATCTAATGAAGGTTCTATTTGATCCAAAAAAAAAAGAACAACTAGGATAAATCAATCAAATAGTGCACAATATTACTTCCACACTACCTAAAGGATTAATTAATAAATTAGAAAATTTAACTTTAGGAAATAATCCTCATATAAGACAAAGTAGAATAAATCCATTTGATAATAGTAAATGGAACTCTTTATGAGAAAAGAAAAAGAAATAATTAGAATAGAAGATATATACCCCAGTGAACAAGAAGCACAAGAATTCCTATATAAAAAATGTAATAACCCGATTCTAAATTAATATTTAATTATTAAATTATTCAAATAAAAGACAATTTTAAGAGATATTTAGTGATATACTCATTCTTAGCATTAATATTATAGATAAATCCTACACCAATGAGTTTCTATAAATAAACAAAAAAAAACTCAAAAAATGACAGCTAGTCTTATTGAATTTAATATTGATTATTAAATTATTTTGATATCCTATTGAGTGTTTTGGGTATTTTTATGAGATTTTGAGGTTGATGTTGTTTTAAGAAATTGATGGCAGTTTTGTAATTTATAAGAAGTTAAAAGCCTATTTGTTATGTTGTAAGTAGGTTTTGAGTGTATTTCTAAAGTCCATTTCATATTAGGTATTTTTATAATTTGGGCTCCTATATTGAGTATAATAGTGAATCTCCCATATTTTAATGGGTTTAAAGTTTACTTTTTGTTCGGGAAATAATTTGGAGATTTTAATAGTACCTTTGCGTAAAGGACGTCGAGATGAGTTCGTAGACACGTAGTGGGCCCAAATCGGAGTTGTAACAAAGAAGTTACGATCAAAAGAAGCTTAGTGGCAAAACCATAAATATTTCAAGTTCAGTTTTTACGAACCCAGATTTTTCATCTCTCTCAATTCCAGCACGAGCGGCCAACTTCAGACGAAGATATCTCCGCCTTCCGGCCACGAAAACTGGTGCCAAAACTTGGAAACTCTTCATCTCTCTCTCCTCTTTCCATAAATACCCATATCTAGCCTTGATGCCAAGCGATTAAACCAGAATTTCGAGCCAAAGTGAAGCCCAAAACAGGCTGTTTCGAAACCAGAAATTTCGAGGCTTTTTCGAGCCAATTCCTGCCACCACCGGCCTTGCTATCACACCCAAACCACTCCCCTACCTCCCTTCTGTAATTTCCCTAGAAGACCCGACGTGATTCCATCGTGAAATCATTGAATCCAAACTTAGACATTTCTAGGTTTTTCCAAGAGAAAACCATTCGTTCGAGGGGTTTAAATGCCAAATTGGTCTTCGACTCAGGTATTAAACTTACTCCTCTTGATATGCTTGATCTTTTGGCATAGGTCTTGACAGGCGATTTGGAGATTTTCCGATCGCTGAAATTTACTATGGACACCCATGCGCTGCCGGCTTGTGTGGTGGTGCGTGAGCCACTTTGTGGCAGGTTTTTGAGTCCTAAAATGACCCCCATGTCTTCCCGAGTACGAATATATGCTCATATTTGAAATTGGTTATCGTATATTAGGGGTTATTCGGGTTCGATATGTTTGGACCTTTGGATCAACTTCAATTTCTTATATGTTGATCTAGGCATCTTTAGGTCCGTGTAGGACTTCGTGGATTGTGAATCGGAGTCCCGGATGCTCTGATTCAATGACTTAAAGTTTGCGTTAAACGATAACTGTGCGATTGTGACTGATTCGACCGTTCGTTTCGAACCAAACTTGAAGGACGTGTATAGTAAATCTTGTTGAACCCGTAGGAACTCTCAGATCAAAAATCGGAGGTTGTGGGCCCTAAGGGCCCGGTTGACCAAGTTTGGGCAGTTTAGCCCCTTGGTTGAACTTATGAGACAAGGATTGAGAGTTTTCTAAATTTTAAGGATTTTATATAATTCAAAATTATTTTCTTAAGTGATGAATTTGTTTTTACATGTGAAAGAGGGAAACATATTTTATTTAAATTGTTGATATTGACATTAAGGTTTCACGTGGTCAATGCTATCTAATATTTTCTTGTTTTCCTAGTTACAAGTAATAAGTTAATTATATATATATATTTATGCACATGGAGGATGAGTAGAAGATTGTTTTAACCTCAATAGCCCTTGATTGAGTTTCAGTAGATTGATCTGATTTACTTATGAAGGTTTCTAGATTTTTATTTGATTAAGTTACTTGTGTTTACTTATAATTCATGTTGAAAGTTGGAGAAATGAATGGTTTTGTTCTTCATTTGCATACATGAGCTTTATGTGACTTTTGAAGGAAAGATTAAAAGTGTTTTATGAGTTTGTTTGTTTTTATATATAATTTACAC